CACTGGCGTACGGAATATTCCACTATTTCTGTCGTATCCTTTTCCCAGATTAAGGTAGATATCACCGAACGCAATAGGCTGACCATTGGCAAAGTGTATCAAATCATTAGAAATCCTTGCGGTAAATGCGATGTACATTGATAGCGATTTTCGTATCATTCCTGAAAAAAAAATGGAGAAAACAAATCGAGATGCTTGTACATAGATTTAACAATTTTAACATTTATAATGTAAATGAAATAATAGCGTTTTAAAACGATATTTTTCATAACGAAACACAAGGGTAAAGTTGGACAGAGCTGATCTGGGACATGCCAGCATAGGCAGGCATTTAAGTAGATCGGGTATGTATTCTTGGTTATAGGTGGGTAGAACTTGTCGAAACTTAGAGGGTAATGAGTGGTAAGATGAATTTTTCATGAATGAATGTGTGATAGAAATAAAAAATTAAAACAGAAAATTAAATATTCATGTAGGCAACGCCACACATGCATAGTGTTCTTTCATTTTCGTATGGGTCATCTAGAGGCTGCGAAATGTCTAATGTTCGTTTTAAAAATGTCCCAGTCTTCGATCTAGTTATAAATGTGATAAGTAACAGATGATTATTTGGTATTAAACCTTTCAGGCATGGCTAATACAGCATTTCATAGAGAAAAATAAAACACCTTTAGGCATGCATAATAATACAGAAATTTTCATAAACAACAGCAAACCTTCCAAAATGCTTAATACAGATTTTCACACTGACACTAACATTCCTTCTAGGAATGCTCAATACAGAAATTCACAGAATTACACAAAGAAACATCCTGCGCATGCTTAATTCAGAATTTATCATAGATACAGACACTAACTTTCCAATAATACAAAATTTCACACATATATACGCAAACCGTCCAGACCTACTTAATACATAATCTTACATTCACAAACCTTCCGCTTATGCTGAATATAGAATATATTGTACAGAGACACATACAAAAACAAAGCAGATGAAACAGATGTCATAAAAATAATGAGTAATGTTTACCTTTATTGATATTAGCACGTGCAGAATAATTACCTACAGTTCTTTTCGACTGCACTATGCCATTCAATGGGTCCTTTCTGTCTTCAATTTCATTTTTGTAACCATATATTCTCATTATTTTAGCGTCATTTTTATGACGTTGTCCTCCATTGATTCCGTCTTCGCTTTCATTATTGTAGTCATCTCCTTTCTCTAATTCAGCTTCATCTTTTTTATCATGTTTTTTCTCTGTTTCGTCTCGCCTTTGAGCCGTGGGATCAAATTTCGATATAAATCCCTCAGTTGATGGTCTAAAGCCATTCTTGATTTGTCCATTTTAATGTGCAGTCTTTCTCTCACCTTTAAGCACGTGAAGTTTTAATTCTTTCTGAGTCATTAGCAATTTATTTTGTACGACTCTCATCGTTTCTTGCTCATGCTGAATTGACTTAATCTGTTCTTTTATTGACAATCAGTCCTTTTGAGCGCTATGCATCATTTTTAGGCCAGCTTTGAATGGATCTAGTTCTTCCGCTATATCAATGAATTCCTCCCTGAAGTCACTTGCCATGGCTTGATTATTCTCTTCTCTTTTTATTCTCCTCTGCTCAATTCTCTGACAATTCTTTCTTTTAGCTCCTCCTGGTTCCCAACAAAATCTTGCACAACACGTCTCAGCTCTGCGTGCTCTTCCTTCAGTTTCTTCATGTCCGATGACATTTCTAGCACACGTTGAACGAAATCACTTCCCATGTCCTCTTTTAAAATATGTCTTGTAGACTGCGCTCTTAAACAGGGACAGAAGGTTAATATTAAAACTAATGCCAAGAATACAGGAATCATCATTTCCATAGTCCAACAGGTTGTGTCCGTGACAAAGGGAACACGACCTGCGTAGATATTTTATCGCTCTGCTAAACTCGGGACGTTTGGTCACTGTAGCTCAAATTGTACACGGCAAATAAAGAGATAAGGACTTTCTTTTCAGTATTTAATCTGTGCAGAATTAAGTAAGCAGTTACAGAAAATATATGTATACAAATCCGATCTGTAACAGGCATGTGCTAAGATTATCTCCTATTCCAGAATAAAGTCTTACTCTAGTAGCTATTGCAGAAATATAAAAGTTGATGAAGTTAACGACCAATATTCTATTGTGTTAAAGATTGTTTTCCAGACCTTATTCGGTGCCCCTTCTTGCACCAATTAGAAATAACTGGAAATTGATACACGTCTGCTCTTCCTTTGGTTAAACTTAATCGGTATAGGAAAGAAGTGCTTCTACAAACTTGATCAAACTAAATATAAACTTTCTGACAATATGTCTCATTTGCTGCTTGGCACTGTACAATAACTCTTTCAACATGTGTACGATATACCTTCTTAATCTACCTCTGTTTCTTTTATTGCACATAAGAGCATTTTTTAACTTGACTTTTCTTGATTGTTCATTCAATAAATACTTTATACGTGTTATAATTGGTATAAATCTACGATTGGCGAGATCAAATGGTGTTTTTTTTTTCTTCAGATACTCCACAAATTTGTATTACCGAATCAACAAGTTTTCTTTCCGCATTGAAAATTAATTGACGAGTATTTACGTTGAGAATCCTTTCTTGGCGTCATTACGTCATAAATAGTCAGCTCCGCATGTTGGAGAAAAGTCGTTAAAAATTTGATTTATTAGTGGTATATGTGCTTGCACGAACTAATTTATATTGACCAGTGTATATATATATATATATATATATATATATATATATATATATATATATATATATATATATATATATATATATATATATATATATATATATAATTAACGCAGGTGATAATATTTGTTTTATTGTTCTATAACCATCATGTTTGTGGATTATAACTTACCAAATTTAATACACCTTCTAATTCACACAGTCCTTTGTAACTTCTCTTGTCATGTATATTTAGTTTAATTTAATGTTAGTTTTATAAAAAAAAAAAGAAGAATTATTTCATGTTATTGTAATGTAACATTGCTTACTGGACTTGACTTTGTCCAAAATTGAGTTCAGTTCTGTTTGACCTGATTGACGTTTTTTTAGTTATTTTATTTCATTGATGTAAAGAATTAATAATAGCTAAATTATTTTCTATGTTTATGAGCTCATTGACCAAATTACTATTCAATTAAACAAGAAGGCATAAACGTTGATCAGGGTCAAGGATTTCAGAGATTCCCAAGTGAATTTTTAATAAAATATCGTTTTGTAAGTAAACAAGACTCATGCTATAAAGTTAGTTTCCATTGGGTATTGGTTGTTTATAGAAAATGCTAATTTGCGACCTGAGGTCAAACAGACAACTATATTATCTTGTGATTGTGAAGATTTTATCAGTTATGCTTTAACATCTGGCGCTTTAAGTTGCATTATGTTGTGACCAGTTTGGACTGATTTTTTTTTTCTTTAAATTATTGAATTCAAGTGATTATTTTCTCTGGAAATGCAAAGTGCTCTGACACAATTCTTGGATAAAGACATTAATTGGAATTTATACTGAATTCAAACCTGGAATATTATTTATGTGATTCAACAAGAGAATGTTGACACTTGATCTTGGGACTTGATCTTAATTTTATTCAGGACTTTTTATAACTAGGACTTTTGTCTTTAATTCTTGGATTGCTTTTGGATTCAAATCACAAAACTAAGTACTTTTTCTCTTTTTACACTTTGTTTTCCAGGGAATTAAATTATTTATTAAATATTACAAAGTTTGTTGTTTTCACTTTTTTCTGTTACTTACTTTAAGAGCATAGACTCGTAACACTCGTCAAATTTATCACAGATTTAGCAGATATTTAAGCGAACGTTCGGTTTGGGGATGATATGATCTGTTAAAATACATTAACTTTTAAATAAAATCGGGTGATATGATTTGTTGAAATACATTAACTTTCAAGCAAAGTCGAGTGAGACTAGATCACATTTGACATTGTTGACAAGGCAATAAAAGGGACATAACTTAGTATAGAAGCTATGACGAGGCTCTCATCTCAGATGCATTTATATGCCTTAATCGTAAAGCAGTTGAATTTATTTGCTCAAAATCACATATTTTAGTTTTAGAATGGGACAATAATTAAGAAATATGTGAAAATATTTGACATACTTATTTCCTGCATTTATCCTTGAAATGAATAATACAGGGTTCAAAATTATTTTAAGAAAAACTTGCATCATAAAATCAGAGATTAAAGATTTTCCTATTTCATTGTGTTAGACATAAACGACAAGGTGGTAAAGAAGATAAGGGGTCTGGGTCAGTAGATGCCTCATTGTACAATTCATATGAGTGTTGGGTTACAGTGATATTTAAAGTCGAAATATGAAGAAAGCAGAATTTTGACAGACAAAATATGAATATGAAATTAGAAGAGTTCTGACAGACAAAACATGAATATGAAATTAGCAAAGTTCTGACAGACAAAACATGAATATGAAATTAGCAGAGTTCTGACAGACAAAACATGAATATGAAATTAGCATGGTTCAAACAGACAAAACAAGAATATGAAATTAGCAGAGTTCTGACAGACAAAACAAATAGGATTAATAGGAAATTGGCATCTTTGGAAAGACTAGTGGAATTCTGAAACAAAACAAATAGGATGAATGTGAAATTAGTATAGTTTTTATAGAACACAAAGGATTTTTTGCAAATTTGCATCATTCTTATAGAACACATAAGATTTTGGGAAATCAGCATCATTCAGCGTGTGTGATTTAGATTTTTAAGGAAGTTTTAACAATTTCTCAGTCATATCACTACAATGTCTTTAGTGTGGCAGTAAATAGTGATATCTAGCACTGGGGCATCATGCCACAGACATGTAGCATGATGTCCCACCCAGTCACATTATCCTAACACCAGGTTGACCAGTCCTAACACTAATGCTAAGAGCCATGCGAGGCAGCTGTTAGTACCTTTTTTAAAGTCTTTTGTACAACTCTGCCAGGGGTTGAACCCACGACTTCCCGCATCTGAGGCGAATGCTCTAACCACTAGGCCACGGAGTGGGTCAGCATCATTACGACAGAACAGACATGATGAATGGACATAAATAATATTATATCCTCCCCTTATTTACTCAGTACCAAAACAATGCAAACAAAGTTTGCTTATTAATGTGGCATTTTATTTGACATTTTCACTGCATTTTATGGGTGAACAAAGAAACCAGTGACCATCATTAAACAAAATGGCTTATTAAGTTTTTACATCAAAGACATTAGTGTCATTACAATGTCAAATGTAACATGTCATGTAAAGTAGAAATAATTATATAACTGTACAAATAAGTACTATGTGAGATGTAATGAAATAAACTTGTGTACGAAAATCCAAAATTTACTCAGGATGACAGTGGGCAACAAAAGACATTTTATCAGCTAAAATATTACAACAAATACATACTTACTATTACATGTAAAATTTATCTTGCTATCCATATATGTGCAGTTAATTAACAGAGTGTGGTAAAAGTCCTTTGTAATGGCTACATTGCTGTACATATCAGATATTTGTCCACAACATTATGAAATGCTCGGGAAACTTGCACAAATCCAATGGAAACTATTATTTGCTGGCACTAATATTCATTGATGGACACAAGCTATTCACTTCCCAAACATAGCAATTTAAAACATTTGATCAAGTACATTTTATCAACTTAATTAGACTGATGAAATATATGCAGTAAGTAAAACTATGCACACAACCACTGTAAACTTTGATTATCTGTAGAGTAATCGTCTGTGTGCTTCTACAATTATCAAGCCCATTGGAATGTCTTCTAGATATACAATTCTTTTCTTGCATTGTATCCTTTATCCAGGCCTAGTAGAATGTCCTAAAGACCTTTAATTTCTTCTACATGTCACATCCTTTACCTTGCACTGTATCCTTTATCCAGACAGTCAACAGGCCTAGTAGAATGTCCTAAAGACCTCTAATTTCTTCTACATGTCACATCCTTTACCTTGCACTGTATCCTTTATCCAAACAGTTAACAGGCCTAGTAGAATGTCCTAAAGACCTCTAATTTCTTCTACATGTCACATCCTTTACCTTGCACTGTATCCTTTATCCAGACAGTCAACAGGCCTAGTAGAATGTCCTAAAGACCTCTAATTTCTTCTACATGTCACATCCTTTACCTTGCACTGTATCCTTTATCCAGTCAACAGGCCTAGTAGAATGTCCTAAAGACCTCTAATTTCTCCTACATGTCACATCCTTTACCTTGCACTGTATCCTTTATCCAGACAGTCAACAGGCCTAGTAGAATGTCCCAAAGAACTTTAATTTCTTCTACATGTCACATCCTTTATTAAGCCAGACATCAGACCATTAGAATGTCCTACAGAACCATTCTTTCCTGACATTAAATCCTTTGTCCAAACACTAATCAGGCTATCCTTTACCTGGACATTAATCAGGCCCAGTGGATGTCCAGTAGACCATTAATTGGATGTCGACTAGACCATCAATTCACTCTTCTTATATCTTTAATCCAGACATGTATCAAGCCCACTGTAAAGTTCTCCAGACCAACAGCTTTCTTTATATCTTTTTCAGGCATACATCAAGTTCAGTATAAAATTTTCTGGAGCAACAAATCTTTCTAACATTATACCTTTTATTCAGACAGTCTTGATACATTTTATGATTTCAACATAGTACAGATAAGCAATGTTGACTACATAAATTGCACAATGTTTACTTGTGTGCAAACTCTTCATGGAGTCTGAATTGAAAGTTTCATCCTTCAACAAACATTTGCACAATGAGAAATCATCTGCTATAGTTTTCCTTAGTCATAACTACATAGTAAAATACATTTCATATCAAATACACAGAAAAAGAAGCTTTAGATACATGAAAAAACTAACTGAGATGATATTCAGTTCAGCTGTTTGAACTGGAACTATTTTGGATAAACAAAATACTGTGTTCAGAGAGGAAGTAATACAGAACATTTTTCATGAGGAATATAATTATACAGTATTCATGAAGCATGTAATACAGTATTCAGAGAACATATAACACATGGTTAAAGAAGCTTGTAATACACTGTTTATACAACAAGTAATACATAATTCAGAGAACAATACAATATTCAGGCAACAATACAGTGTTTATGAAGCATGTAATATATTTAGGAATCATATGATACATTGTTTAGAGAGCAAGTAATACCATGCTTTGGGAGCATGCAATGTAGAATTCTGCAAGTTTGTAATACAATCATCTGGGAGCATGCAAAACAGTTCAGGAAGCATGCAATAAAATGTTCAGAGGGTTTCGTACAGAATATGCTTATTAAAACTTACAAAATCCAGATTATGATGCTTTTTGTCTCTACAAGTTTACATTGTTCAGAGAGCAAGTAATACTGTGTTCAAGGGACATACAATGTAGTGTTCTGCAAGTTTATAATACAATGTTCTTGGAGCACGTAACAGTTCAGGAAGCATGCAAAAAAACTCTTGATTAGTTTTTCATATAGCATATAGTTTTTGCATATAGTAGTATTCAGAGAGTAAGTAAACCAGTGTTCATGGATCACATAGTAGTGTTCAGAGAGTGTGCATTCAGAAAGTAAGTAATGTGTGCTATACAATGTTCAGGGAGCATGTAACAGTGTTCATTGAGCATGTAGCAGTGTTCAGGGAGTGAATATTGTAGTGCTTTAGGAAGCAAGTAATATGGTAGTTAAATGTGATGATAATGTCAAGCTATTTATAACTGTCAGGACTACAACTAAACACAGTGAAAGTATTTTGATACACATAATATTAGAACATGTGTGCTGCCATATTACCATGACTACCACTGAACAACAAATTAAACTGAGACAATTAAAATCAAACCAATTGATTTAAATTAAGAGTGTTAAAATCATAGTTTATAAAATTTTTGAAGAAACAGAATACTTAGAAACAATTGTATTAAGTCTTTTATAATAAAATCTATTAATAAAGAAATCAGGAATATCTAATTTGTATAGGATAGTGACAAGAATAAAACTGAACTGTGAGAATCAGAAGGAAGAAAAAATATTTTGTCTTGAGATTCCTTTGGAACAAATATGGATAAAATATACTATAAATATTACTGCCGTACTGAAGTTAAAAATATTGAAACTTCAGAGATTTTAAAATCTCTCTCTCTCTCTCTCTCTTTGCAGTTTCATATCAATATACAACATGCTAACACATTCAAATTTTTATAACATAGATTAATTTACTAGCACACACTACCATTGCACACTCCAACCGCATATACCAAAATGCCTCCCACACAACCTAAACAAACATTAGTATTTTGTCATTAACTTGCTCACTGATGATGATGGAAAATTCCAGTTACAGTGCAGAAACCATTTCAATCACTGCCACCATATCTTTGACCATGAAATCAATAGGGAATTTCCACAGTCCAAGTACAAGCAATCCACAGAAAATGTAGATGATGAAGAACTCAAGAAACCATTTTCATTCCTGAAGTCCCCATGACTTTAACCACTGACCTCTTTTACTCTGAATTCAGTAGGGTGCTACCTTACCCAAGGTACAAGCCATTTGCAAAGTTTTTGTAAATGTAATTGATGGCCAACTTAAATGATTGTACAGAAAGTAGGCAATAGTCATTTGTATGGACAGACAGACAGACAGAGACAAAATCATAATACAATTCACCTCATAAAAATCTAATTAAGTCATCTACTTATGCATCCAAACATGCATACCAAATTTCATTTGCTTGTCCCACATGATTTGCCATAATTGAGTCCCCAAAGTGTTTGTTAAAAATATCCAAATAATTTAAAAATGCTTTAAAAAATATCGAAATAGGTGCAATTAATTGAGGGCCTCATGAGCTCTTCTAGATATGAATGCAAATATGCCTATCAAGTGTTATTTTTTAACCTCAAATGGACTCCACTTTTGTGTAAAAGATGTGCAAAAACTGGACCCAATAAATTATGACCCAATGCTTCACCTTATGGATTTTATATTTATGTTTTATTTTGAATATTTTTCAATAATATTACTGGTTTATACTTTACGTTTTGTTAAACTATCGTTTAACATTATCTGAATTTTTATCTTGCACTTTTTACCGATACATATAATGAACGTTTCATTTAAATGGCATTTGTAGCCAGGACAGTGCTGCAAATTATAAATTCACAAATGTGGACAAAATCAAAAAATTGCTATAACATACTGAATATCTAATCAGGTCATCTAATTATGATGATTAGGTCATCTAATGAAAATGATGTTTATTTAATCAGGTTATCTAATTATGATGATTAGGTCATCTAATGAAAATGATGTTTATTTAATCAGGTCATCTAATTATGATGATTAGGTCATCTAATGAAAATGATGTTTATTTAATCAGGTTATCTAATTATGATGATTAGGTCATCAAATTATAAAGTTTATTTAATCAGGTCATCTAATTATAAATATTCTGTCATAAAATTATAACATTTATCTAATCAGGTGATCTAATAATAATGATTAGGTCATCTAATGATAATAAAGCTTATATAATCAGGTCATCTAAATGATGACTAGGTCATCAAATCAAACAGTTTATCTAATCAGGTGATCTAATAATAATGATTAGGTCATCTAATGATAATAAAGCTTATATAATCAGGTCATCTAAATGATGACTAGGTCATCAAATCAAACAGTTTATCTAATCAGGTGATCTAATAATAATGATTAGGTCATCTAATGATAATAAAGCTTATATAATCAGGTCATCTAAATGATGACTAGGTCATCAAATCAAACAGTTTATCTAATCAGGTGATCTAATAATAATGATTAGGTCATCTAATGATAATAAAGCTTATATAATCAGGTCATCTAAATGATGACATGATGACTAGGTCATCAAATCAAACAGTTTATCTAATCAGGTGATCTAATTATAATGACTGGGTCATCTAATTATAATGACTGGGTCATCTAATTATAATGACTGGGTCATC